TCGCTGTGCTTTTGCTTAGCTTAGCTTGTTCTAAGTAGGTGCTTTAGACCACTGAGCCATCTCACCAGCCCTTAGATAGGATTTGGATATGTAGTTCAGGCTGTCCTCAAACTCAAGATAATCCCAGCCTCCAAGTACTGGGATTACAGGTGTGTGCTACTATACTCGGTGTTCAAAGACATTTCATACTGCTCTTATTAGACTCTAGACCTGCTCTGATGGCCATGATTTCTCCCTCCCCTAGCTGTTTGTCTGCTAGTCTTCAATATCTGGTCACTGCTGATCCAGGACAAAAGGTACCAGGCTAACCCCAGTAAGACTGAAAACACCCCACCTACAGACTCCAGAGTAGGAAAGCAAAGTTACAGAAGTTCCCCACAGGATTAGAAGGATCAGTGAAAGTGCCCTAGTTACCTACCCAATGATATATATGTCCAGGTTCAGGTTTGGGTTATTTAGCTGAAGCAGGTCACTGAGATCTAGAGGGGGTGCTTCGGAGGCCACATTCCACGTCACAACATGAATGCTGTGGAAAGATGCAAAGGGAGGAAGAGGCTAAGATCTTGTCAAGATAATGAGCAAGGGTCTAAGCCTGCTAACAGCTGTACCAGTTCACTGCATAATAATGTAAATGTATTTTTGCATCTGGTGGTAGGAGGAGCACAGTAGACTTCATTTTTTTTTTTGTTTGTTTTTTTGTTTTTTGTGGTAGTGGGGATTGAACTCAGGACCCTGCACTTGCCAGGTAAGTGCTTATTCTACTGAGCTATCTCCCTGGCGACTTCATCTTCACTTCTTTTTGTTTTTGTCTTTCTGAGACAGGGTCTCACTATGCAGCTTAGGCTGGCCTTGAGCTCACTTTGCAGCCAAGGCTGGCCTTGAACTTGAAACAATCTTCCTGCCTCAGCCTCTCAAATGCTGGGATTACAGATGTATACCAACACCATGCCCTAGTTCATCTTCACTTTTATCCGCTAAAGCAGGACTGTACCCTGGACTGGAATCTCCACGCAGGCCCATTACTGCCCAATGTGGCCATACTAATGCTGCCAACATCAGAGCTACCGAACACAACTCACAGGCTTTTGGTCAAGCAAAGGAAAGGATGGCGGGATGGATGGCCAGGAACCTCTTAATCCATCAGCTTCTCCAGCCTTCTACATTTCAATGATCATCTATGGGTCAGTCAACAACTCCCAACTCAGCGGTTCCTAATACCAGCAGGGAGAGCTCAGGGTTCAGGTTTAGACTGCACCTGGTAAAAGGTCTTGAGCTACTAAGGCAAGGGAATTTCAAAAATAACAAAGTAACAACATCATATTCCCTTGTTTGCAGATCCCTTTAGCTCAAAAATTCTACCAACACCTTCAGGGAGGCTGAGGAGAAGTGTCTAAGTAACCAGTTTCTCAACCTTTCTCTCAAGAGCCTACCCTCTCTTGGGAAAAGTCCTCAATTGGATAACATTATCTCAACTTCATACAAGAGAAGCAGATCAGTGGCTCTCGATAATATTATGTCCTGTCAAGAGGCCAAAGGAAAGAGACTTGAAGACCTTTTTATTTTGGGGTGGGGGCAGGTGTTTGAGATAGGGAGGCTGAGGCAAGAAGATCACCAAGGGCAGCCTGAACTACATAGCAAGACTCTATCTCAAAGAACCAAGAAAAGTGAATGAATCAAGGAAAATAAAGTAGGAGTCCTTAGCTAGCCTGGCTTTGAACTCACTATGTAGCCCACAGTGGCCTCCAGAATAGCCTTGCAATGATCCTCCTGCCTCGGCCTCCTGAAGTGCAGGGATTATAGATGTGTGCCACCATGCTCAGCTTGAATACCTATTTAATAATTCCAGAAACACTCCAAGGAATCCCAGACCGCTGAGTACAGGTAAGGCAGGAGGTGCAGATTCTGTAGAAATCAAAAACAGCCACCAAATTTCCTGTGAATCTCAAGAATACCAAGAAAGAGTACCCGAAGCAACTGAAGATCCAAATGGGTCAACACAAGGCTGGGCGGAAAGGGTACCTTATTTTAAAACGTGTCTTCTCCACTAGACCTTGTTCTTAGAGATCCATGTCCTAAAAAGCAAGTCTTGAAGAAATTCTTGGCCAGCTTAAACAAACTTCCTGCCTCTCCCTTCAATGTAAACAAAATAATACAAAAAGCTCCTTCTCTGGAAGGATGAGATTACATACTTCATTTGTTTACGATCTCCCCCTGCTGTCCAGCAGAGGATTAAGGAAGGCAGCTTTTTTACTCAAAAAGCTCCTTGTTTCCGCGGAGCTTTATTCTTCCTGGATGGAGAACAAAAGTGAGGATTTCTTGTTCCCCACTCTCAGGTCTGAGATTAGCAGTAAACTCGTGCATCGTGACTTACAGTACGTTGGTGATTAACGCTGTTCGTGAAAGAGCAAGCATAAAACTAGGCTTCATTTTATTACAAGAATTTATCTAATCTAAATCTGATTTTGATTTTCAGAGGTCATAAAGGGATTAGGCAGATCCCTAAGGTGTATGTCAATGATTTTCAAAACAGGCTGCTAAGACTTCTAGCCTACACTTAAGGAGCAAATCCATTATGTCCTTAATAGCCTAGCACAGGTTTCACCTCCAAAGATCAACAGGGTCACCTGTTTGAGGCGCCTAAGGAATAATGTGCTCTGGGACATAAATTTAGGGAAAGGGTGAGCCACAGACCCTACATATGTCCCTCGGCACTGGTCTGAAAGAATGTAGGTGGGCAACCGTGCAGTGGGTCGGCCCATTCTCTCCCTGTATGGTTCTGTCCAAACGCCCAGAATCCCTACTCAGCCATTCTGCGAACCAGATTGGCCGGCTCGCAGGAGTTCTTACCCGAGCTTCATCTCTCTCGACTCAGGCAGCTTCGGTTGTCTCTCAGCAGCCATCATTCCCATGCGGTGGTACGGTTGGCTCGTGTCTCCCGGTCTAAGATGGTCACCTCCCAGGAAACCACTCAGGGAGCAAGTACCTGAAGCCTCACTAGTTCCTGGTTGTTTTTGTTCCGGATTCTGACTATTTCGGCTTCCGTAAGAGGCGGGTCTTACTACGCTAAAGTGCGGCATGATGCGATTTGGAAAGAGGGGCGGGACTCTCCAACAGATGCTAAAAGGCTACAGGCTGAGAGCAGGGACCCAAGGACACACGGAGATAAGGGGTGTATCGCCTCTCAACATAGTTCTACGTAACGAGGCCCAAGCAGGAAAGCGAATGGACGCTCACGGAGCCCCACCTCCCATCAATCCCAGCATGCCCTGCGCGGGGGTGAGAAGGCCGCATCTTCCGGCGGAAGTAACCTACAAAATCTGCGGCTTAGGGTTCTGGCTTCTGTACTTTCCTCACGCGCCAGCTGCCCAGACCTGGACTGGAGCATGCGTGGTCGCGTCTGTGCCCGTTACCTGGTCTCGCCGAGTTATTATGTTGGTGAAGATGCGCCTACATTGTTTACAACCTGTAGCCTTTTTTTTTTTTTTTTTGGTATTGGGGAGTCGAATTTAGGAACTCATGCTTGTCAGGAAGGCACTGTGCCACTGACCTATATCATCGGGCCTTGATCTCCTTGTTTTACCTTTTACACATAAGGTATTATGGAGTTTTGGGGCTCTTGGAAGTGACCATTAATGAATGAAAAGTCATTTCTTCTGCTTAAGAGATACTTTTTTTTCCTTCGGGGGTTGGTTGGGGTTACTGGGAATTGGACTCAAGACAATGCCCTTGCCAGATAGGTGCATGTGTTGCTGAGCTATATCCCCAACCCTGGTTAGCCTTTATTTAAACATGAAATACGCTCGGGGAAAGCAAATTACAATTTCCCTTACATCAGTTTTTGAATCTTCTTAGGGAAGGAGACTGCATGGGATTTCACTGAGAGCCATGACTTTCTCCCAGAAAAATACAATTTCATAAATAAGCTTTGTACAGTTCAGACCTTGATGCCAGATTAAAGTTAACCCACCTCACTCCCCACCCCCACAGGCAGGATCTCATTATGTAGTTCAGGTTGGCCTTGAAATCAAAGTTGAGGTGATCCTCCTGTCCCAGCCACCCAAACCACCTTTAAAGTCTGTTTTAGGCCTGTAATCCAGCACTCGGATCATTTGGAATTGGAGATGAACCTGGAATACATAGGAAGACCCTGACTCAAAAAAACAAAAAAAACATAGCTGGGGGTGGTGGTGCATGCTAGTAATCCCATCACTTTGGAGGCTGAAGCAGGATCACTGAGTTTGAGACCAGCCTGGACTGCACAGGGAAACCTTGTCTCAAGAAAGAAAAAAAACAAAAACCCTCCTATTTTCCTATCATAGGTCCTGCATGGTACAGCATTCTAGAAGTCATGGCCACTAAGGTGCCTCAGGTAGTGTATCTTGACCCAAGAGGTTTCAGGCCAGCCTGGGCAACATAGGGAAATCCTGTTGCCAAAGGGGGAAAAAAAAAAAACCTTTCAACCTTAAATAAATGTTCGGCTTGGTAGGGTAGATGAAGTAGAAGGGCAAAAACCCCAAGGAAAACACTGCCACTTGAAAATGGCAAAACTGTATATAGATATACAATGCTGTGTTGACAAGAGAGTATTTTATTTTATTTATTTATTTATTTTAATTTTATTTATTTGTGTGTGTGTGGCCAGCTCAGCCCACCAGGGGGCGGGGCTGGCTGGTATATGGTGCTGGGGGATTGAACCGCGGTCCCTATGCTTTTAGTTTGTTCTAAGTAGGTGCTTTAGACCACTGAGCCATCTCACCAGCCCAAGAGAGTATTTTAATTAGCAGATATTCCCTGCATAAATTTTCATACACCATTGCACCTCCTAATTCTGCCCTGGTAAAGTGGGAGAGGACACATCAGTAAGAGTTTGAGGGTACTAAATTGTGAAATGGACATATGAACATCATCAGTAAGCTGGACTCCGGAAATCTCTGTCTAGGATTTTATTAGACTGCTTTTTTCCCCAATATACCTGTATTGGAAGATTGAGACAAAAAGGCACAAACTCACATTAAATAAACAAGGTAATCTAATCAGTTCTACAAAGTGTAGTTTGTAAAAGAAGTAGCACTAGGTACCAACCAAAGTAAGTTGGGGAGTCCCAGCAGGACTGTAAAAGGAGAACTTGGGAAGAGACACATGCCCACAATACCAACCCGTCCTCACCCTCTCTTGGTGAGAAGGCCAGAGCCCAGCAGCCCTCATGTAGAGGCACTGCTACTTTCAACTGGGACTGAGACCCTAAAGGAAGCAGCTGGTTTGCAGGGGTGTGGCACACCCCCAGGTAATCTCCACATGGAGCTGAGCTTTTGCTCAGAAGTCCCTCTTGAATGCTAGGCAGTTTAGGGTGGGTGAAGAGAGGAGGAGGTACTTAAAAGAAGCCAACACTGTTGTCTAGCAGCAACACCACTCATGAGGACAGAATACCAGGGACGGTCCTTTTTCATGTGGGCAGGATCCCCAGATGCAGGCTGATCTCAGGAAACTGGAGCTCAGCTTATGCAGATGTTTTCAGTTGCGGTGAGAGTGGGAAGTGGGTGGAGGTGAAGGAGCCATGGAAAAGGCAGAAGAGCCCCCATTTCAGCTGATGCAGTATGTGTGGGTCTCACAGAAGAGCTGAAGAAAGGAGACTAATATCTGCTGATCCTCATCCCAAGGTAAAAAAAATCTGCTTATAGTATCCGTTTCTCCCAAGATAACTCACATCTGTACTTCACCTAGTTGATGAATGAAGAAGGAAAGTCTTTAAGCACAAATATAATAGTATTAATACAGAGCTTGTAGGAAAACATTTACATTTTTCTCCTGTAGGAATGCCTCTTCTCCAACTTTCTCAGACCAATGCACACTAGGTAGCAGTTGAGATACTAATCACGAATTGAATGCCCAGGCCCATTACTAAGGACCCAGGAAAAGGAGGAGACGTACAGAGGAAAAATGCAGAGGATGTCTCTGGTCCCAAAGGGACCTCAGTGAAGGTCAGAGCTAACCATGCTGCACGGTCAAATTCTGTCCACTGTTGTGCCAGGAAGGCCATCAGGATCTCCCAAGTGCAATCCCATGAGACACTCCCTTATTGCACTTAGAAATGAGTAAGGTAAGGCAAACAAAAAGATAAAAACATAAGGATAAATTATCCCATTCAGCTTCTTATTCCCAAGGGAGACTTGGTCTCTCTCACAAGTGGCACCCAGGCAAGCATGGGGCTGGATGACTGCACACACTGGCTGACACACTTCAAAAGGTTTGGGAATGGTCAGGTGACACTGTAGCTGTCTCAGATTCACCAACCAAGAAGGCATTATCTGTTTTCTCCAAAGTTGTAAGAACCAGGACATAGCAGCCTCCACTTCCCTTGAACCTGGACTTCTCCAGCCTACTTTGGTAGAATTTTATACTATGATCACTGCTTTTGATTGTCCAGGACAGAACTCAGCCTGAGGCAGGATGAACTGAGTTCTTTTTTTGGAACCAGGGATTGAACTCGGGTCCTTGCACTTGCCAAGGAAGCACTTATTCCACTGAGCCATCTCCCCGGCCCAACTGAGTTCTTTTTCTTCAAATTCATTTCCAATGATTGGAGATAAAAGGGTACATGTTCTACTAAAAAAGCTTTTTGCATGCTCATTGTGTGCAGCATTAAGAGAGCAGGACTCTTGTATTCTAACCAACCTCAAAGACAGAGGATAGGGATCTAAGAAAGCACAGAGAAAAGAGGATTATTGCTGAGTGGCAGCACCAGCCCAAAAGGGAAGAGGAGCATGAACATATAGAGCTCCTCGGGGTCAGACAGATCACTATCTACAGGACAGACTCAATTCTAAGGGTCACACTGGACAAGTCCCTCAAGATGGAGAGGTGTCCGGGGTGGCTTGTAGGCTCTACAGAATGATTCACACAGAACGGGCAACAGGAGGGCCAAGAAGCTACAGTTGTTTCCAATAGTGGCCAGAGATAAAAGGACTGGGGCAAGGATTACTCATATTTGTTAAATTTTCTGAAACGGAGGCTGGCTGGGCCTCCTTGGTGCTCTGAGCACTCTAACACACTATGGGAACAGAGGTCAGCTATGAAGCCACACTGCCATTCTATGGAACTGGGAGGGTGGGAAATCTGTATTTCTAACTCATCCTCTCTCCTCAAGTGAGCACTCAAAATTGCAAAGATCTGCCCAGGAAGCAAAAATATTACTTTATCCCAAGGTTCAAAACAAAGGAACTTAAAAATCACCACATCACAAAAGGCAGCTATTCTGAAAGACTTAAAAATGTCACTTGGAAATAAGGGTGGGGGGGAACCACACAGAAACGGGTCAGAACACAATGGAGAGAGAGAGAAGAGCTGTAAATACAGCAACCCATTCGCCACACATCTCAGAGGAGCAGGCTCCTGCACACACAGGCTCTGTAATACCAGACGGTCTATTTGTTCACAATATTAAAGGGTATCTAGAATTAGCTACAGTATGGGATCAGAAGTTGCCTGAAGAATGGGCACAGAAAGGCTGCGTCCGAAGATGGCCTGTCACTCAGGAGGGTGGAGCTGCTGGGCCTTCCTGTTGACCACTGTCTTGCAAAACTAGAAGAGAAATACAATTATTAAGGAAGCAACAGAGGAAGGCAGAAGCACACTGTAAATCACTACAAGCAGAGGAATTTCTAAAGCCAGAAAGGTGGCAACTGGTGGAGAGGGGGATCCTGGGGAGGACACTGAGGCCCCAGCAGCAACTGGGAAGTTGGCATTGCAAGATCCCACTTAGATCTACCACTGCAACCTCCAGAAGCTGCACTAAGAACATGGGGCAGCGAGAGCATGCAGAGGTCTGCATCACTGGTGCTAATTTGTTATTTGGTGAAATCATTTTCTCAGTTTGAGAACAGGGACAGGCTTTCCATTCATGATTACTCCAAGCTGCAAGAATAACATGAGTGTGCAGGGCAACAGGGAGACTGCATGGGTAGCTAACAGGAGCAAGTACCTCGGTGAAATGACAGTATAAAGAAAGGGACAACTCCTCCTCCCCACCCCAGGACCTGGGCAGAAGCATCTCCCCAGCATCTGAATGATGTGGCCTCTATTGAGGACAATTAGTATGGGGCCAGGGGTAGAAAGAAGGAAATGAAGAACCAAATGCAATGATTAATGCATATAAAAGCTGTTTGACCAGATTTCTTAAGGGAAGGGCAGGGAATACCAGTATTGGGCAGTGTGGAACAGCTGACATGAGTACATGGTGTGCACCAGCATGCCAGCATCTGCTTGACATGGCTCAAATTGCAAAAGGGGAAGTGATTAATGGCACACGAGCTTTGCTTCTGCATCCACCGCCTCAGTCCTTACCACCCTGTCCATGTCTATCTGGGTGGTTCTTTATTAAGCTTTTCTTGGAAGTGTCTTAAAAGTCATAATCCTTTTCATGGAGGCCTGAGAGCTCGCTCTTTAACATGGCAGTCATCATCATTACTAAGAGTGAAAGATGAATGAAGGATGAAGTCGACTTTCTGACTCCATTGTGAGCTGCTGAGACCTTGAGGACCCAAACCGATTTTTAGCTTCTATGACATGCACATTGAGAAATAAAGTACATACAGTGCAGAAAGGGGAGGGGTGGCTTTAGTCATCTGCCGTCATTCCTTTCACTGGGTCCTTTTGTCTCATCTGGAACGGAAGAGAAAAAATTGAGGGCTCTTGATGTTAGAGAGAACTCCACCACAAATACAGCCTGCCTTCTCAATGTTGCTGAGACAGGATTGGCTAGTTTTTATGCACAAAGCAAAAGTTTCCACAGAATTTGGCACGAGCAAGCACACAAGAGCACACACACACAGAGTCAAAGTCACACTGAGAATACCTGTGTCACACACTCTACGTTTCAACACCTTAGTCATCTACCACATCTTCTCCCTTCTGCTTTTAATAAAATGGGACTTCCTATCAGTGATCTAAATAGCTTCTCCCATTGTCAGAGATGAGGTCCCTCCATAAATAACTTTTATTGTTACAGAAAACTAGCCTAAGAATGGTTATTTCCCATTTCCTGGGGCCTACATGACTTTTCTGATTTACTAGATCTAGCAAATGTAAGCTATATATATAAGAATATGAAATTAGAAATGTCAATCCTGGGGCCAGGGAGATGGCTCAGTGGAATAAGCCCTTCCCTAGCAAGCACAAGGATCTGAGTTCAATACCCAATTCTGGAAAAAAAAAAAAAAAAAAAAAAAGCCAATCCTATTTTTGTCTCTTTTTAATAGCAAAGTTAGTGTTTATTGAAACACTGCACACTCTCTCCAGAGAGAATGTGAGGTGTGATAGTACCATCTATGATCCTAGCACTTGGGAGGCTGAGCTAGGTGGATTGCTGTGTTGTTGTTAGAAACAACTGGGTTTTGGGGGCTGCAGTCTCTTTTTTTTTAGTGGTACCGGGGATTGAACTGGGGCCCTTGCACTTGCCAGGCAAGCACTTATTCTGTTGAACTATCTCCCCAGCCCATGCAGTCTCCTTCTGAAGATAATTTCTAGGCTCTTTCCATCCTAAGGAAAGAATTGGTCAAGATGAGATGAGCAAAAAAGGTAGCACAGTTTTGTCAGAGATAGGAAAGAGGTTCAGGAGAGCAAGTTTGATCCAAGTAAAAATCAGGAGTATATTCTACAGTGTGAGAGCTAAGCACATGGGAGAGTGAACACAGAGCCATGTCTTGTTTTAACAGTGACTTCCGCCAGGGCCAGGATTTGGTTGAATGCAATGTATATAATCATTTATAAAATAATTTATTTGGAGTTCCATTTCTTAGTATTTTTCTTTCAGAGATTATTCTTCCCAGCTGGGTGTGTTACATATACCTATAAACTCAGTACTTCATAAGGCTGAGGAGGAGAGCAAATACGAGCCCAGGTTGGGAAATTTAGTGACTTAAGGAGATCCTGATTTAAAAAAGGAGGGTGGCCAGATTGCCCAGGGGATTAAAGGCAGACACAGGGGCCAGTTCGATCCCTGGCCTGTGGCCTGGCCCCAGCCCTGGGACACACTGAGACAGACTGAGATGGTGGTGCACCCTTGTAATTCCAGAGCTTGGGAGAATCACTATGAGACCAATCTGTGTAGTGAGACCCTGTAATAACATTAAAAAAATAAATAAAAATAAAAAATAGGCAGTCGCGGATGGTTTGCTGAGCCCGTTAGTGCTCCGCATCGAGACTGACGCTGCCGTCATGTCCCGCTACCTGCGCCCCCCTAACACGTCTCTGTTCGTCAGGAATGTGGCCGACGACACTAGGTCTGAAGATTTACGGCGTGAATTTGGCTGCTATGGTCCAATAGTTGATGTCTATGTTCCACTTGATTTCTACACGCAATGTCCAAGAGGATTTGCTTATGTTCAATTTGAGGATGTTCGTGATGCTGAAGATGCTTTACATAATTTGGACAGAAAATGGATTTGTGGACGTCAGATCGAAATACAGTTTGCACAGGGGGATCGGAAGACACCAAATCAAATGAAATCCAAGGAAGGAAGGAATGTGTACAGTTCTTCACATTACGATGATTATGACAGATATAGACGTTCTAGGAGCCGGAGCTATGAAAGGAGGCGATCAAGAAGTCGGTCTTTCGATTACAACTATAGAAGATCTTATAGTCCTAGAAACAGTAGACCGACTGGAAGACCACGACGTAGCAGAAGCCATTCCGACAATGATAGATTCAAACACCGAAATCGATCTTTTTCAAGATCTAAATCCAATTCAAGATCATGGTCCAAGTCCCAGCCCAAGAAAGAAATGAAGGCTAAATCACGTTCTAGACCAAACTGCAGCTGGAATACCCAGTACAGTTCTGCTTACTACACTTCAAGAAAGATCTGAAAGCGGAAAAAGAACCAAAGAAGGGCAGTTCAAGCGACCAAAGGGTGGGTGGAAGGTGCTGCAGTATGAATGCTGTACGAATATTTTGACTGGTATGAAAACATAAAAGAATTATCGAAAACTACATGGAATAATTGAAGTCCCTTCAAGTTTGAAAGTAAGCATTTTAGGACAAATAAAAGGAAATTCAACTTTGTACTTGTGGAAACTAATCCCTAAATATGAACAGGTTTATATTGATTCATGGGTAACAGGTCCATAACTTATTTAAAACTAGGATGTCTGAGTATCAAGGAAGACAGCCATAGTTTTTTTAACAGTGCCTCTATTGGTCTGTCTCAAACTGAATGGGGTGGGGGTGGGGATAAGGTCCAATGTAAAGTTTTTCTTGGTTATTTCTTTAAATCATTTCCATTTATGCCATTTTTGGCAAATCTTGCCTTTGTTTATTCGGGTGCCAGTGTTTTCTGCTTAATCGTTTGCTTTGTTGGCATCTGAGTTCATTGACTTATATAGCTCATACGGTTTACATCACCATTAACCACTCACTGTCCCAGGTATATTCCAAGTATACTTGACATCCAGCCAAGAGGGCCCATCACTTCTCACCTCTTCCCGAAACAGAATGTCAGCAGATACTTAATCAAGTCCTTACTATGGGCAAAATGTCACATGGGGTAACTGGGGAGAAGAATAGGTATTTGCTTTATTCTGTAAATGTCTACTGAGCACAACCCTAACGAATCACTGCAATATGGCCTTATTGTTTTGAGGTGTATTACACAGTATTTTGCACCACTCATATAATGTAATTATAAATCCAATATACTATCAAAGATAACTAGTTTTATGGTTACCTGCCATTTAAAAACATCCAGTATTTTATTTGCATCCCATTAATACGAATAATGAAAAAATGTTCTAATCTGTAATAAACTCATTTGCTGTGCTGTGACTGTAATATACTAGAGTTATATTAATTGTTAACTCTGCCTCAATCACACGCATTATAGGAAAAAAAATCTCCAAAATAAGTATTTAATTTTGCATTAGATATTCAAGAGACCCTGGGTGCTATGATTAGGTTATTTTGGGGAAGATAACTGTTAATCCCATCTGATTTAGTATGTTCTGTAATTGAGAAAATGTTTGCCAGATAATACTTTTCAGTGATTTACATGTACATTTTATAGGGGACATGTTTTGTGAATAGTGAATAAATAATTTTCATAGTGTTACAAAAAATAAAAAATAAAAAAAAATAAAAAAAAAAAAGATGCATCAGAGGATATAGTTCATAGTTTCTTTTTGGTACCTGGGATTGAACTCAGGACCTTGTACTTGCTAGGCAGGCACTTAAGCCACTGAGCTATCTCCCCAGCCCCCATCTGAGGATAGAATTCAGTGCAAAGCCTTAGTCTCTTTCCTGCCTTAGTCTTTTTTTTTTAATACATTTTTATTTATTTATGTGTGTGGGTGGCCAGCTCAGCCCACCAGGGGGCGGGGCTGGCTGGCATGTGGTGTTGGGGGATTGAAGATCGCCTATGCTTTGCTAAGCTTGTTCTAAATAAGTGCTTTAGACCACTGAGCCATCTCACCAGCCCCCTGACTTAGTCTTCCAATTGCTGGGATTATAGGCATGTGCCACCATACCTGGCTGATCTTTTTTTTTTTTTTTTTTTTGGTGGAACCGGGGTTTTAAACTCAGGCCCTTGTGCTTGCCAAGCAAGCGCTTATTCTACCGAGCCATTTCCCCAGCCCCCTTGAACTGAATCTTATACTAATCTGAAAATAAAAAGTTTAGTGAAATATAAAATAGGAAAAAGTTTGGTTTGGTTTTTTTTAGGTACCAGCGATCAATGCTGGGACCTTACGTCAACCCCTACTGGGTTTGGTTTTGAGATGGGGTCCTTGCAGTGTAGTTGAGGTTGTCCTTGAATTCAGTATGTAAGTGGGGCTGGCCTCAAACCTTGCATGGATCCTCCTGCTACATAAAGCCTTACAACCGCTGGTATGACAGGTTATGTGCCACCACAGCAGGAAAAAAAAAAAAAAAAAATTTCAAGTTTTAAGGCACTAAAATACATCCACAAATCAACTAATACTTCTGTGTACAGAACTACAGTGATAAAAAAAAAAAAAAAAATACAGAAAGAAGTTCATGGGGCTCGCCAAATAGCTCAGCGGATTAAAGCGCCTGAAAACAGGAGCTGGGGTTGGGAGTTCATCCTGCAGCCTGCCATGGAGCACTGGCCCCACCCCCATTGCCAGATGAGAGGGCAACTGAGACTGGGTGTGGTAGCATGAGCCTGTAATCCCAGCTCTTGGGAAGCTGTAAACAGGTGGATCACTGGGAGTCTGATCTAGTAATGAGACCCTGAATACCCTGTAGGACCCTTCCCTAAATACAAAAAAAGAAAGAAAAAGAAAATAGTTCGTGCTAAAGGCCTATTTCCTAGGTTACAAGGTGAGGGCTTGCTCCTCATCTAGTTGCATAGGGGAAAGTCCCTGGATCTTGGGAAGAAAGTGCCACGTGCTTACACATGTAGATTCCCGTGTCTCATGCTTAGCCCCCCAAGAAGCAAACCAAAACACAGTAAGTTTTATCAGTGAGAACCCAGAACTTTTAAGAAAAAATCAATAAACAGTAGAATACAGAGCAACATATTTTGGAGTCATAAACCTGTATATAATGAAATTTGGGGGGCTAGGGTAAAGGTTTGCGACACAATGCACATTTAGCATTCTCTCTTTTTTTTTTTTTTTTTTTTTGCAGAACCGGGGATTGAACTCAGGCTGAGCCATCTCCCCGGCCTCACGTTTAGCATTCTTTAAGTCCCAGATTCAATCCTCAAAACAAAAACAAAGGGGGCTGGGAAGATGGCTCAGTAGAATAAGTGCATTCCTGGTAAGCACAAGGGCCTGAGTTCAATCCCCAGTTCCGAGAAAAAAAAAACCAAAAACAGAAAAGGCAGGGTCTCAACCTTCCAAAGTGCTAGAGCACAAGTCTGTGGGCATGTACCACCATGCCCCACGTAGTTGTCCTGATTTCAGTAATTGAAAAATGCTTAACTTTTCTATAAACAGGGGCTAGTGGGCTGGGGAGATGGCTCAGTTGAATAAGCACTTCCCTGGAAAGCACAAGGACCTGAGTTCAACCCCTGGTTCTGGGAAAAAAGAAAAAAAAAAAAAACTTCTATAAACGGCCAGGGTGTCCCAGTGGCAGAGTGTGCATAGCTCTGACCTCAAAACAAGCTTACAGGAGGCGGACTGGGGAGATAGCCCAGCAAAATAAGTGCAAGGTCCTGAATTTGGTCCCTGGTACCACCAAAAAAAAAAAAAAAAAAAAAAAAAGAAAAAAGATTCTAGGAGGGTACTGTCTTCCTATGCATGGAAAGTTCTTTCTTTTTCTTTTCATGGACAGTTCTGAAAGTTCTGGCCCTGCTTTCAAAGAAGCTATGAAAATCTTATTTTCTGTTATCTCTTGGCCCAGCAGCTGAGCTAGGTACTTAATAGTTTCTCCTTATCAGCCTAGTTCTCAGCACTTCCAGCTAGCTAGCATGTTCCCAATCTGGGAGCTTCGCGGTGTAGTCTCCCATCCAAGTACTAACCAGGCCTAACCCTGCTTAGCTTAGGAGATCAGATGAGATCAGGCACGTTCAGGGTGTTATTGCCGTAGACGCTTTGGAGTGTAGTGTTCTGCTAGCTCTATAGGAGTGACCTGTCAGTGTTTAAGACTTACCCTGATGGTGACTCAGTAATCAGAAAGCCATAGGATAATTCTAGGGCACTCATAAAGGGCTCAGGCAATGTGCACATGCACATCCAACCTGTGAACTTGACCAGCTACAAAGTGACTTGGCGGTAGCTCCCTAGACAGGGGACCTGTAATCCCAGCTGAGCAAAAGCATGGACTGTAGAGGGACCAGAGGAATCATGGACCCACAGGGGCAGGATGGGAAAGGAAGTGTTATGGATCGTAGGAGGGCAGATCCTAACCATGCACACAGCATCAGTCTCTTTGGTGTTTTTCTTTTCTTTTTTTTCCCCCCAGCAGAACCAGAGATTGAACTCAGGCCCTTGTACTTGCCAGGCAGGCAATTATTCTACTGAGCTATTGCCCGGCCCTTCTTTGGTGTTTTTCAACAAATGTCCTAGGGAGCAATATACAGGAAGGTAAGTCTTCTTAATCTTTTTACTTTTCCAGTGCTGGGGGTCAACCTAGGAATACTCTGATAGTGAGTTACATCCCCAGCCCTTTTTACTTTGAGACAGGGCTTTGGCTTACTTGCAAAATGTCTTCGTGTACTTACATACAGATTCTCTTTAGATTTTTATCTTAAACAAATATAACTCCATAAAAATAGATTTGGGTTAATTATTTAGCATCTTACGCCTCAAGCTGAATTATTTGGCTGTAGGATGAAGCTCAAATACTGTAGAGAGGAAGTTGATTTGGAATGGAGATGGCCAGCCTGGCCTCACAATTGAGATCTCCATGTTTCTGTTTCCCAAGTAGCTAGGATTACAGGTGTGTACCACTGTACCTAGCTTTTTTTTTTTTTTTTAAATGGGTGTGTGTGTGTGTGTGTGTGTGTGTGGCCAGCTCAGCCCACCAGGGGGCGGGGCTGGCTGGCATGTGGTGCTGGGGGATCAAACCGCGGTCTCTGTG